CTCCTCCATTCTCCTCTTGGGATCTTGTGCACGCATGCACACGCGCCGAGCGGGAATTTAAGCCACCGGGTCTGGAATTTGAACCACGGTCGACTACATGGGAGTCCAACGACATAGCCATTACACTAACTGCTGGCCCCCCTTTATCTCCTTTTTTAAGAATATATTTTGTGGGGGCCCAGCAGGTGGTGTGGTTAAGGTGCTAGACTCCCACATGATTGACAGCTGTTTGAGTCCCAGACCTAGCAGCTTGCTTTCTCACTTTCCCTTTCTCTCTCCCTCTCTCTGTCTTGTAGTCAAATTTTAAAAATAAATAGGAACCAGCAGTTAGCATAATACTAGGTTACTGGACTCCCATGTAGTCGACCGCAGTTCATGTCCCAGACCCGGTGGCTTAAAACTCATGCCGGGCGCGTGTGCGTGCATGCCCAAGATTCTGAGAGGAGAATGGAGGAGAAGGGATTGCAGCGTGGCCATATCCCCTGGGGGGTGATGGTGGCATGGTGGTTAAGGGGACTGGACTACCACATGGCCTAACTGTGGTTCAAGTCCTGGACCTGGAGGCTTACTTTCTCATTTATCCTCTCTCTGTCCCCCTCTGGTCAAATTAAAATAAATAAATAAGTAATGTTAAATAAAATAATTCTTTTAAATAATTATTTATTTATTATAATTTTTTCATGAGTTTTTTGCCAGAGAAAGACAGAGAGAGAAAGTCACCAGGTCTTGGACTTGAACTGCTGTCGTCCAAGTGGTAATTCCAGTGCCTTAATCACTAAGCCACCTGCTGGAAAGTCACCAGGTCTTGGACTTGAACTGCTGTCGTCCAAGTGGTAATTCCAGTGCCTTAATCACTAAGCCACCTGCTGGCTCCAATAAAGTAATTAAAAATTGTGTGTATTTTGGGATCCCTCATCCTGAGTCTCTTACGATTTGGTTTTTGGGTTTATCTTTATTAAGCTTCACATTTTTCTGCTTGCTCAGACTCTTTACCTATACTTTCAGGACCCTTGAAATGCTTACTCTCAGGGCCGGCAGGTGGAGTGGTAGTTAAGGGCGTTGGATTCTCACGTAACAAACTGTGGTTCGAGTCCTGGACCTGGTGGCTTGCTTTCTCTTTCTCTCTCTCACTCTGTCCCTCTCTGGTCAAATTAAAATAAGTAAAGTTAAATAAGATAATTCTTTAATTTAAAAAAAACTTATTTTCAAAAAGATGGTTATATGCTCTAACCAAATGGTCCTTGTTAGCTGTCTCGGCCACATTTTGGTTTCCCTTGTCTCCTTTAATACCACGTTCACCCGGGAAGTCTCAGCCACGTTTTTAGTGTTTCCTAGTCATTTATGTTCTGCAAGAAACCCGCAACCCCAAATCTCCAGGTTCCTTTTTCATGGTCTCCATCCCCACAGGATCCAAACGAAGCTCCCCCACATGTATTTTTAGTTTATTTCTACCATAGATAAGACAGCATTCCCGCGGGGTCTTGATGCCACGATCCTCCCCAGCCCCAGCCAGTCCCTGGTCATGGGCACACGCAGGCCTCAGGTACTCAGGGAGGCCTCGGGATGTGAGCGCGGAACCTTCCCAGGCTGGTCGGCCTCGGAGCACTCACTGCCCTGCCACCGTCACATCGCCAGGACGCTTACGTTTGGGTGAAGAAACGTGGCCACACTTCCCCCTCTGAGCAGGCTCCCGCAGGCAATGACAGGCAGGAAACAGGTGGGCATACGGTGGTGAACAAAGCTCTGTTTTTTTGCCATGGTGGAACCTCCACTTTTGCAGGGGAACAAACAGATGTCACTTGGGTGCAGCAGTCACAAATGTCTTTGGCTGCTAGTAGAGCAGACCTGATTTTGGATGGCATGAAGAGGGTCCCACACTGTGTGCCTAAAATCTTGAGAGGAGGATTGTGGCCTATTCCTCTTGGCGGGTAATTTCTTTGTCTCTGGCAAGCGCACTCGCCCTATAGCAAAAATACCTCTTTTTTTAAAAAAAGGGAACCAGCAGTTAGCAGAATGGCTATGTCGCTGGACTCCCACGTAGTCGACCGCGGTTCGCTTCCCAGACCCGGTGGCTTAAAAAACTCACCCCGGGCGCGTGTGCATGCATGCCCAAGATCCCAAGAGGAGAATGGAGGAGAAGGGATTGCAGCGTGACCATCCCCTCTGGGGGGTGATTTCTCGCTTTCTGTCTCTATGTCTCTCTCTCTCTGGCGAGCGCACACGCCCTATAGCGAAAGCCTCTCAAAAAAAAAAAAAAAAAAGGGATCCCATATGGCCTGAGGTGGGGGCTACTGGCCGCGGCCAGAAGGGATTGCCGTGTTTAGGCAACTGCCCTGGGCACTGTGGCCACCACCCCTCCTAGACGCGGATCCACCTCGCTGCCTTAGCTGGACTGGCGCCGCCAGGTGGCGCCCGCGCCCCGCCGGGACTGGGTTTGGCGCCGTCCTCGGTTCAGACGGTGCGAGCGATTTCCTTCCTTCTGCTCCGGTGTCGCCCGGAGGATCGGGTTTGCTGAGACCAGAAGCCCTGCAGGGATTCTCAGGCAGTCGGGAGCTCCCTGAGACAGCCATTCATCCCGTTCATTCCGCCGTTCCTTAGACGCTACACGCTCTCGCGCTGTTGCAGTCACATCCCGGTGGGGAGGACAGCAGAACAGAAGGAACCCAGATGTGTGGTCCAGTCCTTACGCCTCTAAGAGCCACGGAGCCTCTGGTGCTCACCAGGCCGGCGTGCTCATTCCCCTGCGGCCACACGCCTTGTGTGACCATGGGCAGCTCGCTTAGCCTCGCTGCCTCTTTCCTTTGCTATGAAATGGGAACCATAGGACCACCCGCCTCAGAGGGTGCCTGGGAGCCTAACCTGAGTTAATATTTGTTAAACAAGTTGTTTAAAATTCCCATTATCTTCTTTCTTTTCTTTTTTCTTTTTTTTTTTTCTGGAGAGGTTTCTGCTATAAGGTGTGTGCGCTCGCCAGAGAGACAGAGACAGAGAGACAGAGAGACAGAAAGTGAGAAATCACCCCCCAGGGGGGATGGCCACACCACAATCCCTTCTCCTCCATTCTCCTCTCGAGATCTTGGGCACGTACGCACATGCGCCCGGCGTGAGTTTAAGCCACCAGGTCTGGAACTTGAAGCGCAGTCGACTACATGGGAGTCCAGCGATACAGCCATTATACCAACTGGTGGTCCCTATGTCTCCAAATTCTTAAATTGAAATGCTTCAGTGGGCTGGCAGGTGGAGTAGTGGTTAAGGCACTGGACTTCCACATGGCTGATGGCGGTTCGAGTCCTGGACCTGGTGGTTTGAAACTCACACTGGGCATGTGTACATGCATGCCCAAAATCCCAAGAAGAGACAGGCTTGTGGCATGGCCATCCGCGAGGGGTTTTCTCACTTTCTCTCTGTGTCTCCGGCAAGCACATGTGCCTATAGTAAAAATCTCTCAGGAAATGACCCAGTGATGCAGACCTGAGTGATGCATGGGGGGCTGTGGGGAGAAGTAGGCCATGTGACCTCATGAATGGGATGAACGCCCTCATCAGGAAGTCCCCAAGAGAGACCACGTCTCTGCCAGGTGAGACCACAGCTGGAAGGCGCTTCCTAGGAAGCAGGAACACGGCCCTTGCCAGACACTGTGTCCACTGGTGCCTAGAGCTTGGGCTTCCGGCCTCCAGTCGTTTCTCCTCCACCCTTGGTAGTTTGTCAGAGCGGCAGGTGCAGAATACGGCCAAAGGGGAATGAGAGTGGATGTCCTGGGGGGAGGGCTGTGGGGAGGAGGGGGGAGGGCCTCTTGTTTTGCTTCCTATTTCTGGGGTTCCCACGGTGGCTGAGAGGAGGCAGAGCCTGCCATGAGTCCCCGTCTTCTCCTCTCTCTGCCCAGATGCTCCTCAGAACCTGGCCATCAGCATCCTTGGGGGAAACAACACAGGAAGGGCTGACGTCCACTCCAGGCCGGACTGAGTGGGTCCCGATGCGGAGCAGAGAGGGTCCAGATGGCGAGACGGGGGGGCACCACTCCTTCTTTACAAGTGGTTTTCTTTCTTTATTTATTTTAAAGAATGATTTAATTTTACTTATTCGTTCATTTATTTTAATTTGACCAGAGAGAGACACAGAAAGAGAGAGGAATAGTGAGAAAGCAAGCCGCCAGGTCTAGGACTCGAACCATGTAAGATTAGTCCAGTGCCTTAGCCACCACGCCACCTGCTGGCCCATGTTGGTAGCCTTTTGGCTCTTATAACTGATGTGGTCATGAGCATTCCCTGACAAACTGCCATTTGCATATTTTTAAAAAGAATTATTTATTTAATTCCTTTGTCATTGTTATTTTTTAATTTGACCAGAGAGAAAGAGAAAGTGAGAAAGCAAGCTGCCAGGTCCAGGACTTGAACTATGGTCAGCCACGTGGGAATTCAGCACCTTTATCCGCCACGCCACCTGCCGGCCCCCATTTGCATCTTTGATTTCAGATCTTCATGGTATATACCTAGGACTGGAACTGCTGTGTCATGTCTTTTTCTTTTTTTAAAAAAGAATTATTTTATTTAATTTCATTCATTGTCATTTTATTTTACTTTTTTGAAGTTGACCAGAGAGAGACAGAGAGAAGGAAAGTGAGAAAGCAAGTTGCCAGGTCCAAGACTTGAACCACCATCAGCCATGTGGGAGTCCAGTCACCTTAACCACCATGCCACTTGCCAGCCCCCCATCTGACTTTTTAAAAATTTAATTTGCCAGAAGGTGTGTGTGCTTGCCGGAGAGAGGGAGAGGGAGGGGAAAGCCCCCCAGTGTGGTGTGGCCATGCCACAACACCTCTTCCAGTATGGCAGTGCCAGCCACAAATCTGGGGTCCAGGACACTGCCTCCCCGCGACCGCGTTGTAACTGGTCCTGAGGGCTTCCCTCAGCTCAGCCAGGGCGCCTTTGTCCTCCCAGGTAGCCTGTGAAGGTGACGGTGGTGCAGGTTTCCCTGTGGACGCCCCAGCCTGGCCTTCCCCTCGATGCGGTAGGGAACCCCCATCTCTGACACCGGCAGGAAGACAGCCAACTCCATGGGGTCCTGTCATGTGCTGTCACCACCCGCTGAGCCCTGTTGTTCTCCCCCAAAGTCCTGAGTGTTGGCCCTGCTTGGAGGATGGCCGCCTCTTAGTGGGGACACCCCGTCACGGTCGCTTTCTTGTCAGCCCGGGCCAGCAGGGCTGCTGCTTCTCATTTGTCTCTGGGCTGTACTTGTGGGAGCAGCTGAGTAGCCATCTGGGAGTCCAGGGCCTGGGTGACCTGGGCCATCGCAGGAGGCACTTCCGGCAGCTCTTAGACCGTAGCCCTCTGCTGCCGCAGCCCATGCAGCAGGGCCCTCTGGCAAAGTGGGCGAAGTCCCTTTTGGACCGGATGTCCTGTCCTCTGCCCAGATTTCTCAGACGGGGACTGACCACCTTCTGGCCTCCGCTTCTGCACGCAGCAGGGGCCGGAGCCGCCTTCTTCCCCGGGGCCTTCTTTCAGCCTCACAGGCAACTGGAGGATAGTGCAAACCCCCAAACCTTAAAACGGTACGTGATACAGTCACATCTTATATGGTTAAAGATGAGTAAATGGGGGGCCAGCAGGTGGTGTGGTGGTTGAGGTCGCTGGACTCCCACATGGCCGACCGCAGTCCAAGTCCCAGACCTGGTGGCTTGCTTTCTCACTTTCTCTCTCTCTCTTTCTCGTTCTGTTCTTCTCTGGTCATGTTTAAAAAAAATAAGTTAATTAAATTTAATTTTAAAAAATGACTAAATAGGGGCCTGCAGGTGGCATAGTGGTTACGTCACTGGACTCCCACATGGCCGACTGGAGTTTGGGTACTGGACTTGAGGCTTGAAACTCATGCCGGGCACGTGTGCATGCGTGCCCAAATCCCAGGGAGGAGAGTGGAGGAGAAAGGATTGCGGTGTGGCCATCCCTTTTGAGAGGGTGATTTCTCACTTGCTCTGGGTCTCCAGTGGGTGCATGCACCCTGCAGCAGCAAATCTTTCTCTCAGAGAACAACAAAAAAAGAATAAATAGGGGCCAACAGGTGGGGTAGTGATTAAGGTGTGGACGCCCACGTGACTGGCCTGGTGGGTTGGGGGCGTGTACGTGCGTGCCTGAAATCCCGAGAGGAGAATGGAAAAGGGATTGCAGTGGGGATGATTTTTCACTTTCTGTCTTTCTGGAGAGCGCACACGCCCTATAGCAAAAAGTCTCTTAAAAAAAAAAGAAAGAAAGAAAGAAAGAAAGAAAGAGAGAAAGAAAGAAAGAAAGAAAAGCAAGCAAGAAAACAAAGTAATTACTGTGGAACTCCCTTCCCCTTTCAAATAGAAACGAGAGAGACAAAGAGGGGCAGGGCTGCAAGCCCTGGGCCTGGCTTTAGTCTCCGTCTCTCAAGGCCTGACAAACCTGGAGAATAGCTCATCCCTTCCCATCCTGGAGGGGGCTATCCTGCGTCTGGTCTGCGCTGCTGACAGCAACCCCTCGGCCACACTGAGCTGGGTCCTGGAGGACAGAGTCCTCTCTTGTTCCCGCCCTTCAAGCCCGGGGGTCCTGGAGCTGCCCCGGGTGGAGGCTGGGGACTCGGGGCTGTACACCTGCCGGGCTGAGAACAGGCTTGGCTCCTGGCACCGCTCCCTCGTCCTGTCTGTGCTGTGTGAGTGTCCCCGCAGGGGCCTGTTTCAGGAGGGAGAGGGCGAGGGGTCAGGGGACAGGGCAGGGCCCCAGAGCTCGGAGGGGCCTGGAGCCCCAGGCCTAGGGGACGGCCTTCTTGCCTGTCTAGACCCTTGGGTGGTCTGGGTTGGGGACCTGCCCTCGCCCCCTCCCCACCACCTCAGTCTCCTTTGCCCACAGGGAACCCCGCCCACCTAGAGCCCACTCTGTCTCCACTGCAGACCCGCCAGAGGACCTGAGGGTGATGGTTTCCCAAGCAAACGGGACAGGTAGGAGCAACAAGGAGGGCAGGGCCTCCCGCCAGTGGGCACAGGTGGCGAGGAGGGTCGCCCGCAGCAACCCCCCAGCCAGCCTGAGCTGGGCCCGGGGGAACCAGACGCTGGGTCCCTCCCAGCCCGGGGGCCCTGGGGTCCTGGAGCTGCCTCGGATCCAAAGGGAGCACGAAGGAGGATTGACCTGCCAGGCCCGGAACCCGTGGGGCTCCCAGCAGGTCTCCCTGCGCCTCCAAGTGCACTGTGAGTGGGGGAGGGACGGCGGGCCTGGGAAGGGGACTGGGGCCTGGGAAGGGGGTCCCTCTGACCCTTCCCTCCCTCCACAGACCCCCACCCCCACCCCAACCCCCCCGCAGCTGCTGGGCCCCTCTTGCTCCTGGGAGGCCCAGGGGTTGCACTGCAGCTGCTCCTCCAGAGCCTGCACAGCCCCCTCCCTGCGCTGGAGGCTTGGGGAGCAGCTGCTGGAGGG